GTTTTGTAGAGTTGGACCTCCATAGTGGATACCACTAAATTCACATTAGGCCAAGTGATAAATGGAATACTGTCTTTAAAACTCGACAAGGCCTATATGGATGGAAGATTATGCCCTTTGGGCTATACAATGCTCCATCAACATTCATGTATTCAATGGTTCTCAAACCCTTTCTAAAAAAATTTTGTGTTGTTTATTTTGATGACATACTTGTGTATAAACCTACATTCTCAAAACACTTACAATATTTAGCAATTATTTATGTGACATTATGATAACACAAATTATATCTGAATTTTTCCAAATCAAAAATTGCCACTTCTAGTGTTTACTTTCTCGGCTTTATATTTTTGTTAGAAAAGCATTCAAACAAATCAACAAAAAGTTTCAACTCTCCACAATTGGCCAACAACACAATATTATTCTGATGTTTTTAGATTCCATGGCTTGGTTAATTTTTATTATCATTTAATCCATGTCTTCAGTATACTAATGTCTCCCATTACAAATTATCAAAACAATTTTAGTGGACCACCGCCCTACAACAAAGCTTTATGACCATCAAGTAGGCATTATCTTGGACTACAGCTCTTTCATTGCAAGATTTTGAACCTATCCATGTTGACATTGATGCCTCTTCAATAGGAATATGAGATATACTCTCTCAAAAGAACCATACAATTGAATTCTTAAGTGAAAAAGAATGCCCTTCACGATAAAAAAAGGGCAATTTTAGAAGAATATTTAAATATAGTTGTTTGTTATTTAAAATAAGGGGAGGTGTACTTGTTGCATCAAAATTTTTTACTTTATAGTAATCATCAAGCTCTACAATATATCAATAATCAAACAAACTTAAAATAAATGCATGCCTAGTTGATTTTATTTTGTAGAAATTCATGTTAGTGCTGAAACAAAATTTTGGTTCACAAAATTGGGTAGCAAATGTGCTGAGTAGATGATCTATTATATTAACCTAGCTATAAATCAAGATTACAGGATTGAAATGCCTTAAATACTCTATGAGTTTGATAAAGATTTCCTTAATATTTAGTATAATTGCATCACCAACAAAACTACCGCGCATTCGTCATGGATTCATCTTCAAACATGACTTGCAGTGTGTCCCTGACTCTTCTTAGTACCAACAATAGCAATAGTTTTCCTACACATGCGGACCATGAGAAAATAATAGCTTTGTTACTACTTCAATTTTCTTTTCCACACCTATGCAAGATGCCATCAAATTTGTTGAACATTATTCGATGTGTAAAAACTTCAAAGGAGGCAGCCAAAATACATATTTATATCTTCCCTTACCTATTCCGGATGCTATTTGGAAAGACTTGAGTTTGGAATTCATTTTGGGAATATCTTGCACTAAGTATGGTAATAACTCAATCATGGTTGTTGGGGATCGATTTTCCAAAATATCCCAATTCATTGCATGTAAAAAAACATCTGATGCTCTACACATTGCATGTCTAATCTTCATGGAAATTATTCATCCTCATGGAATACCTCTAAGTTTAACTTCAAATCATGATATTAAATTTATCTATCATTTTTGGCATATTTATAGAAACACTTGCACACTATAATTAAACTAAGTTGGTGTATCATTCATTGTCTGATGGGGAAACAAAGGTGGTGAATAGAACTTTGTGTAACATTCTTTGTTGCTTAGTTTAACATCATCCTATGTTATGGGATAAAGTATTAGCTTAAACTAAACTAACATACAACATGATTTCAAAATATTCTACTAGCCTCTAACCCTTCAGCATCATGTATACCCAAACATAGAAGCACATTTTTATCTTCCTTAACCAACTAATTCAGATCTTTGATTTATAATGTTTGGAATCAGCTCACAACTTCTAATGAAGCATATAAATGTGCTGTTAATTTTCACTTCTATTAACAACTTTCCAGTCCAAGTAATTTACTTATCGTTTATTTGTGGTATGAGCATTTAGTTTCAGGTACATGTTCTAAATTGAGCCACCAAAAAATTCATTCAATTCCCATTTACAGAAAATCAATGATAATGCTTACATTATGGAGCTTCCACCTAAATTCAATAACTCCCCTACCTTCAATGTCTCTGATATATATATATATATATGAAGAAATAAAATAGAACATATATGAGATTACTTCCGTTATTGAATTCTTTTGATCTCCATTTTCCTTAATTGCATTCTCTTCTTCCACAGACTACCATTTCATTATATATATAAGATTAGAATTTTTCATAGAAAATTAAAAAATAAAAAAAACACAGGGCGTAGCGTTATATATCAACTATATATAATAGAAGGCACTTATGATATACTTTCAAGTCTATAGGACTCTATAATAGTATAGCTGAGCCACTACTACAATAATAACAACAACATCAAGGCTTTATCACACTATATGGGGTAGGCTATAAGAATTATTTTTCCCAATTATTTCCTGTTAAGAGTGAAATTATCATTTAAATCTAATAAAAAAGATCATTTATAATATTTTTAAACCAGGTCATTTTAGGTTTACCTCTACCTTTTTTAATATAGGTTAAATCTAATACATCTACTCTGCTAACCATATCATTGGAAGGCCAATGTTTTATTTGACCAAAACATCTAATGCAACTCTCTCTAATATTAAATGCCATGGGAGCTTCATTCTTTTCATGTATATACTCATTTCACATTATTTTCTCTAACTTGTGAAGCCACTCATCCACTTGAGCATGCTCACTATGCAATTCTTCACTTAGTATTATGGTTCTCTTTTAATGGGCAACATTTTGTGTCAAAAAGCATTTAAGGTCTCACCACCATCTTTTAGAATTTTCCTTTTAAGTTTGAGGGGCACTTTTCTATAAAATAACTTGCCCGATGCATTCCTCTACTTCAATCATCCAACTTGAATTCTACTAATAATATCGACATCAATTTTACCATCAAATTAAACAATATCCCTGAGATATCTAAAATGTATACTCTTATTAATAATGACTTGATCGTCCAAAGTCACAATCCCCCCTCTAGAACTATTACTACTAAAGTTACACTCCATTTAATCAAATGAAAACATTTAGACTCTAATGTTAACCTCTATAATTCAAATTTTCCATCAACTCCCTCTCTAGTATTATCAACAAGAAGAATATCATTAGCAAAAGCATACACCAAGGTACATCCTCTCACAAATGTCTAGTAAGATAATCCATGACTAAAGATAAAAGATAAGGGCTTAAAGCTAATCTTTGATTTATTCCAACTACAATAGAAAAATACTAGGTCAAACCATATTATGTTTGAACACAAGTAATACCCCCCGCAGCCCCCTACATCCCCCTGCATACATATTCCTTAATGAATTGAATATAAGCATTATTAATTCTTTTCTTTTCTACTACTCTCCAAAGCATATATCTTGGAACTTTAGCATATTCTTTCTCTAAATCAATAAACATCATATGTAGATCCTCCTTATTATTCTCAATCAAATCTTCCAATAAATGTATAGCTTTCATAGTAGACCTCCCCGGCATGAATTCAATTTTATTTTGAGAAACATTAGTATCATGACATAACCTATACTCAATAACTCTCTCCCATAGTTTTAATGTATGGCACATTAATTAATTCCTCTATAATTAGTAATCTTAAAGGAAAATTTTTTAAGATAGTGGTGAGACCTGCAATGCTTTATGGTGCAGAATGTTGGCCATTAAAAGAGAAGCATAATATTAAGTTACGTGTCATTGAGATAAGGATGCTCAGGTGGAAGAGTGGATTTAGTCTTAGAGACAGGATATGAAACGAGCATATCCGAGAAAAGGTTAGAGTAGTTCCAATGATTGATAAGATTAGAGAGAACCGCCTTAGATGGTTTGATCATGTAAAATGACGGACTTCTGATGACCCTACAAGGAGAGTAGACATATTAGATTTGGTCTATGTTAAGAAAGGTAGAGGTAGACCAAAATGGACTTGGTTAGTAACTATTAGAAATGACATTTCTTTATTAAATTTAAATGAAAATTTGATTCTTAACAGGACACAATAGAGAAAAAGGATTCATGTAGCCGACCCCACGAAGTGGGATAAAGGCTTGATGTTGTTGTTTGTTTTTGTATAATTTGTACAATCTTGTGCATCACTTTTATTCTTAAAAATAATAATCAACACACTCCTCTACTCATCTGATATTTTTTTAGTTTTCAAAAAAATATTGAAAAGTTTCATAAGACAAGAAATTCCTTCATCTCGTAAGCATTTCCACATCTCGATTGGAATATAATTAAGCCAAACAGCATTTCTACACATAATTTTCTTTAAAGCCTCTCTAACTTCTATTTTACTAATATGACAATTAAAAAAAATCTCTATTATCATTTAGGATGCTACGGTCACAAAAGTCAATCATATTCTAACAATCTTAATTAAAACGCTTATCAAAATATCTAATCCACATTAAATATCCTCTTCAAATAAAAGCACTTTTTGATCTTTATCTATTATGCACTTGTCTTAAACTAAGTCCTTATTAAATATCTTTCCTTGGCTAACTTATATGTACATCTTTCACTATCTTTAGTATCTAATCTATTTTATAAATTATTAAAAGCTAAATTCTTTTAATATTTTTATTTACATATTATTAAAATATTTTAAAAAAGTTTATGTTATTCTTAATTCCATGCATATGAAAACCCTTAAGAATAAAATTAAGAAACTAAATAAAGTTAAAGGTTCTATATTCAAGGCTTATACTAACTTATATCGCCAAAAGACATTAAAAACCCTTTGTTGGATCGACATTCCTCGTAAATATTTTTTTTTATATATTTCAGGCTAAATGAAAACAAAATCCAATAAATTTGAATCAAATCTCTCAATTTCCCAAATATGATTGTAAAATTATGTCAACACAAATATCAAAATTTATACCAAAACATAAAATTTTTCAAAAGTTACATATCTTACCATCAACAAGATCACCAAATTTAATTTGCAATCCTTAAGTTGAATTGAAAATGTTCCTGAAATGTTCATGAGCTTCTTTGACCAAATCATCATCATCCCACTCATCTCTGTACCTATCTGGCTTTGCAGCCCTGTTTTTTCTATTTGCATAGTACATGAGCTTCCTCCACTCTTCTACTTGAGGATGCCCACATTCTCTTGCCAACCAATTAGCATATTCAAACTGCAAAACAAAGAAAAACCAGATGAAATTCATAAAATTCCCCAAATACTTCACAAGCACCAAACTCATTATCAAGAAAGGAAACTTCCTGTATAAAATACATGGTAATTTTCAATATTGTGTGTGTATCTTTTGGGCCTTCCAGCAGATTGCATTTCTGAATACAAATTCTTGACATCTTCCATCATCTCTTCTTGCGGTGGTAGAATTATCCTTCCTGATAGAACACCAGCAATCCACTTGCTTTGCAATTGAAACATTGGAAAAGGAATAATCTATAAATATGATCAGTTAGTTTCATGTGACAAAAATGAGTCTGAAAAATCCACAGTTTTGTTTATGAAACTGAAAAGAATATGAGACCTTTGTGGTTAATCCAATGAAGGAAAGATATGGAGCCAGCAATGGTGGAAAGACATGCTTATATAGAGGTCCTACCCGGTTGTCTTCAACATTCACAATGCCGTTGGTTTTCAGGAAAGGAAAGTGATACTTGTACCTGGAGCAAACTTCGGATTAAAAGCTTTCAAGGTTCTCTTATTTTTAGTGAAAAATGGTATAACAATGTTTCTCTTATAATCTTACTGTAAGCTATTTAGTAAAATCAATGTGCCTTTTGCGTGATTTTGCTACTATTTTGTTCACAGCATCTTCTTTTAAATAGGTTGTAAAATAGAAAAGTGGCAGCGTAAGCTATTCAAGGAGCTAATAAGTACGTTTGTATAATTTAGGCTACATTTGGGATGACATTCTTGCTGCTTCTTAAAGCAGCTTTCTAGTGCAAAAATTTAATTTTTTACTAAAAAACACCTTTAAAAAGCAGTAAGAAAGCCGTCCCAACTGAAATCTTAAGCTTCATTTGAGACGGCTTTCTTACTGCTTCTTAAAACAACTCTTTAGTATAAAAGTTTAAGTTTGTATACTAGGAAACTGCTTTAAAAAACAGTCCCAAATGAAACCTTAATTGTAATTACAATTTACTTTAACAGTGCGCTCATACCCAGTACAGTGCATGATAACGTCAACAAAGGCAGAACTTCCATCTTGGAACAGCACAGTTCCATCAGCAAAGGCTTTTTCGATCTGCAGGATATCGAAAGATTAAGAATTTCTTTGAATTGATTTCGTCTTGAGTTCAATTATATTCAAGAGCCAAAAAAGAAATGATTTTGTAGCAGATATAAATAATATGTACTGCCAGAATCTCAGAGAGGAAAGCTTTACCATGGAGTGAATAAAGATATTTTCATGAGCAGGATCTTTGATGGGAGTTCCTTCAGGTGCTGATCTGCTTGCAATATGAACTTCTTTGGCCAAACCAGCAATGTCTTTGGAGATATCAGTGGCACTAGCTGCACTTCCAATTATCACAACCACCTGTCCAGCTTACGTAAATGAAAACAGATTAACAAGCATGCTTGAATGAATTTTAACTTTCGTTTGGGACAGTTTTTTTACTGCTTTCTAAAACAATTTTTTAGTACAAAAAATTTTTATACTAACAAATTTTTTTAGAAAGCTATAAAAAGCTATCACAACGGGAGCCTATACTTAATTATTTTTTCTCTTTTTTCTGATCCAAATCAAGATATTATAAAGTGCAATGGAGAAAAAAGAAGGGAAGAAAAATAAATTGTAATAAAAGGTCATACCTGACCCTGAAATGGCTCAGGAACTCTGTAGTTGTGGCTATGCATCTGCTTCCCAGGCCATGAATCAATGCCTGATGATGGCAAACATTAGGGAAATGATTTACATTTGTATGAGGTAAGAAAAAAGCGTCAAAGATTTTTTATTTTGGTTTTTTTTTTTTTTTTGCTTCGGATTTATATATTTTAGCTTAAAAATATGATTTTTAGGCATATTTTTTTTAATTTAAGGGCCATGTTTTAAAACTTTTTTATGTTTTAAAATACAAATCAAATTATTTAAAATTATTTTAAAACAACATTGAGGTGCTTCTCAAAAGCTATCATAATCAGCTACCAACACCTTCGTCGCCAGCACTATCATTTCTTGACAAACATCGCTACTATCCCACCGATGGCCACCATCATCACCGCACAAATCAACATATTCGAACTTTAATAAAAATAAAAGTTTTTTTTTTTAATATCAAGTATATATTTTATTTCATGTTAAAATATAAATATAAATAAAATAAAATAAAAAACAAAAAGCCTTTAAATTTTCCATCTTAAATTTGAATTTGAGATTGAATTTGAATAATTAATGGAGTTAAAATCTTCTCATAAATAAATTTGATAATGACCAAAGAGAAAATATAATTGTATTTAAATTCTTATTATAATAAAATGATAGAATATATATATATAATAAAAAATATTTTAATTATATATGTTATGTAATATAGATATTTAGGACTTTCAATGCCAGTGATTTTGTTTCGCAAGATAAACAAATGCAAACTATGTTGTGCCTAATCATTGCTAATTGCATTAATAAAATACATTAAACTTTCCTAGATTTGTTATAGACAATTTCACCTTCAATTTTTTTATTGATGAACTATATTGTACTGTGCCTTCTATTTGTAGATCTAAAAACTCATCACTGTTAGTCATCAATGCACAACAGGTCGACCACGACCGCCCAACACAACTATTATATGAGTTGGTTGACTAGCTGACTTTAAGGACTCAAAATTTTTAAAATGATTGCAATCTCTATATATGATTAAACTATAAGCCATATGTGACACTAGATTCCACTTGTGAAGAGAAATATTTTATGAATATGATGATCTATTATCATTTTTTGTTAGCCCTAAATTTCATTCCAAAAATTATTGCGACTAGTACATGCGTATTTGATTGAAGAAATGTCATAACATTGATTTTATATCACCAAGATGAAAATTTTCATACTAAGTGTAGAATGTGACAGGCTAGAGAAGAAGATGAGGATAGTGCAGAGCTTTCAAGAAGCGATACATGAGGAATAAGAAAGAGGGAAAAATAAACTTATCATTAATTATTCTAAAGATTACAGACCTACTTATATAGAGACTATACAGTAAAATAATGTACAAGAAGTGTAACGGTACAAAAGAGATTTAAGTAGATATTGCCACGTGTACGGTGGCTAACAGCCCCCTACAAACTTATGGGTGCGTAGCGGCTGTGAGTTTGCTTGCAAGAGTTTTGAATCTTGACTTTAGTAGAGCTTTGGTGAAGAGATCGGCTATCTGATCGTCGGTGCAAACATGATGAACCGAAATGTGCTTCTTTTTGATGCAGTCCCGGATGAAGTGGCAGTCAACTTCGATGTGTTTTGTACGGGCATGAAAAACTGGGTTGTTTGCGAGAGCAATAGCTGAGGTGTTGTCGCAGAAGACCGTTGTAGGGTCTGTTTGAGGCGTGTGGAAGTCGGCCAGGAGTTGCCGCAGCCAAATGATTTCGGCAGCTTCGGTAGCTAGTGCTCGATATTCAGCTTCGGTTGATGACCTTGCTATTGTGTTATGCTTTTTGACTTGCCAGGATATTATGGAGTTTCCGAGGAAGTTGCAGTAGCCGGATATTGATTTGCGGTCTTGATTGTTGTTAGCCCAATCGGCGTCGGCGTATCCTGTGAGGATTAAGTTGGTTCTGTTTAGTGGAATACCTGTGCCGGAGGATGGGTAAGAAGAGGAGTTTGCATATGTTGGCATAATTGTTGGACGGCAAACTGGATGTCCGGTCGAGTGATAGTTAGGTATTGTAATGCGCCAATAAGTTGTCTGTAGAGTTGAGGGTGTTCGTAGATAGTGCTGGAAGCGGTATTGCTGGGTGGTCGGCTTGATAATGGTGTGATGACGGGTTTGTATTGATCCATGTCAGCCTGATGGATAATGTTCTTGGCGTAGGCTTGCTGGTGTAGAATTATGCCGGACTCGGTTTTGACCGTGTGGATGCCCAGAAATTGCGCCAACGAGCCAAGGTTTCTCATCTGAAAATTAGAATGAAGATTTGTTAATAGTATATTGATATCTGAGGGTGAGTTATCTGTGAGAAGAATGTCGTCGACGTATATAAGAATGTATATACGAATTGTGTCGGAGGTGTAGGTGAGGAGCGAGTGGTCAGAAGAGCTAATCTTGAAATCGTAGTTGAGCAGATGGTTGGATAGGGTAGTGTACCACTCCCTAGGGGATTGCTTGAGGCCGTATAGGGCTTTCTTTAGTTTGCAAACATGTCCGGGATATATGGAGTCTTGAAATCCTTGAGGTTGAGCCATGTAGACGGTCTCGGTAAGTGTACCGTGGAAAAAAGCGTTAGAAATGTCGAGTTGATGGATGGTCCAGTTATGATGGAGAGCAATGAGAATGAGAACGCGTATGGTAGGCATTTTAGCGACTGGACTGAATGTTTCGGTGTAGTTGATGCCTTGCTCTTGATTGAAGCCCTTAGAAACCAGCCTTGCTTTGTGACGAGCGATGGTTTCGTCAGAGTTATACTTGATACGGAAGGTTCATTTTGAGCCAAGAATATTCATTGAAGGATGAGGTGGGACGAGCTCCCAAGTGCCTTGCTCTTGAAGGGCTTGGAATTCTTGGGACATGGCGGTGCTCCAGTGCTCAAATTTGACGGCTTGGTTGTAGGTATTGGGTTCAGTTGACTGAGTGACGTGAGCGAGGTCAAAAATTTTCTTGGGTTTGGATATCCCGGTTTTGAGGCGGGTGACCATATGATGTGTTGGTTTAGCCCGAGAGGTATCGGAAGCCTGCTGAAGAGTCATATTGTCATGAGAGTTGGAAGTGGGATGTCGTGTTGTGGTATTGGAAATCGAGTTGTGAAGTTCGGTATTAGAGTTTTGAGGAAAGTCTTGACAGGTAGTTTGTGTGGGAGAGGAGGATGTTTGAGAGGGACGGAGTGTCTCGGATTGCCGAGAAGAAGAAATGCTGGAATTGGGAACAAGGAGCAGCGGTGGTATGCTTGACGAGGAGTGTGTGGTGTAGTGATGATGAGGTGAGTTATGTGAGTAAGGGAAATCGTTTTCGTTGAAGATGACGTTACAGGAGGTGTAGATTTTATTGGTGTTGATATCCAAACATTTGTAGCCCTTTTGTGAGTGCGCGTACCCGATGAAGACGCAAGGGTGAGAGGTAGGTGATAATTTGTGCACGGTGTAAGGTTTGAGCCACGGGTAGCATAGGCAACCTAGAACTTTGAGGTGGTCGTAGTGAGGTGGCTGATCGTGTAGAATTTCGAACGGAGACTTGTGTTGGGTGTTAGGTGAAGGCATGCGATTGATTAGGTAATTAGCGGTAATGAGAACGTCAACCCATAGGGACATGGGTAAAGAAGCTTGAATGAGAAGAGCTCGGGTTGTTTCTATGAGGTGCCGGTGCTTACGTTCCGCGACGCCATTCTGAGATGGGGAGTACGGGCAAGTAAATTGGTGTTGGATGCCGGTGGAAGTGCAGAAGCCTTGAATTTGTGATTTATGTATTCGCCTCCGTTATCGGTTCGTATGATTTTAATTTTCAGATTAAATTGACGTTCTACCGAGTTTTGAAATTCAAGAAATTTAGAGAAGGCTTCCGATTTATTAGTCATGGGGTAGATCCACGTGAATTTTGAGAAATCGTCGATAAAAGAAATATAATAACGAAAACCAGAAGTGGAAACAATGGAAAACGGACCCCAGACGTCCGAATGAATAAGAGAAAAAAGAGAGTCTGTTACAGTTTGAGAAGAAGAAAAATGTAATCTATAGCTTTTGGCCATTTTACAAGAATTGCAAGAATTTGTATGAGATGTCGTATGAACCGTAGGATCCCGTGTGGCGATGGAGGCCAGTATTTGCAGTGAAGGGTGACCGAGTCTTCTGTGCCACAAGTCGGGGACCTGTTAAATGGAGACGAGCGCAAGATTGTCGTTCTTGCTTGCGGGATTTTTGTTGATCTTGAGGGGATAGAGTCCATTAATAGAAGGACCCGATAGAAGAAGCCTGTGGGTCTTCCGATCCTTGATTTCATAGCCATGAGGGAAAAACGTTATAAAACAATTGTTGTCAGCGGTTAGTCTATGAACAGATAACAGATTAAAGGATAAATTTGGAACGTGATTGAGATGTAAAAGTTGAAGACTACCTGTGGGAGTCGGCAGCAGACCTTTACCCGTATTTTGAATTGGTATGGTCAGGCCATTCCCAAGAGTTACCTGACTGCCCCCGTGGTAAGGTTGCGATTGCTGAACTTGGTTTGGATCGGCGGTGAGATGGTTCGTGGCGCCACTGTCAAGAAACCAGTTGGAAGAACTGGTTGTGGCGGGGGAAGTGAAGAGGGTGACCGGTTGTTCAGTAATGTACTGATCGTCGTGTCGATGCCAGCATTTGACGGCTGAGTGGCCGAATTTGCCGCATATTTGGCAATAGATGGCCGGACGATTTGTTTTGCCAGGGCGGTTGGAGTTTGAATTGGATTGAGGTCGGGTGTTGGTTCTTCCTCTGTTGTTGGATGACCTCCCTCGACCGCGTCCGCGATTGGCTGTGAGGGCAGTTTGAGGTCCTGTGATGCTGAGATTGTGAAGTTCTTTGGATGTTTCGTGGAGGAGATTAAGCTCCTCACTGCATAACAGCGTGTATAGCTCATCAAGACTAACTGAGCGAAGATTCGTGCGAATGGCGGGTTTAAATGCCTGGTATGTCATGGGTAAGCCATTGAGGGTGTAATGGATGACGTCCTCTACTTCGACGGGAGCGCCTGCTGCTGCGAGAGCGTCAACTTTAGATTTAACATCA